GGGAAAGAGATTCTGCTCTGGCTTGTAGAGCATATTGGGGGGATCTCTGAACTGCTCTTGTTGGCTAAAATTAAAATGCTTAGATGAAGTAGCATGGAAAACTTCTGAAAACCTAAGCTCTACCAAGAATGGGAAAAAGTGTACTTGGAAACAGATTTAAGTGTTCTCTGGCACATCTGCTGTCCATTCTCCTTCCAAGCCTCTTGCCTCTTTGAAATTTAATTAAAATGGCACAGTCTCTTTGCCAAAATACTCCCCTTAAACAAAGACAGCATATCTAAGCAGATCTGTGCTAGCTTTATCAGAGGGCTAAATTAAACAAGTTACAGTACTGCTTAGAAGTCTAAATCAATTTAGTTCTGAGGTGTCAGAGACCTGCACAGTGAGAGCCTCTTTCATTTGGAAGTCTGACTGTGCTTATAGTTTAAAGTTGTACAACACGTCTTGGATTTATGTGGCAGGCTAAGATGAACTAAAACTTAAGCTTTTAATGAAATGCAAAAATGAATAGTCATGCTGTAACCATGGTTACTGGGTTTTACTCTTCATTGTAATTCAGAATTTTGTATTCAGTCAGCATAACACAGTCCTGGAGGCTGCCAAAGATGAAATTGGCAGACTGCTAGGGTAACTTTCCTAGTGTTCAGTACCTTGGGACTGTATGGTCTTAGTTCAGTGCTGTGCTGCATTTCTCATTGCTCATACACTCTCTACTGAGCAATGCCAGAACCAGGGACCAAACTCCAGGGTTGCCCATCTCCACTGCTGTAATCAGTGTGTACTGTTGGATGTCTCTAAACTGAGGCCAAGCCTCAGTAGAGTGATCTTCCTTAACCAGTGTTTTAAGGGGTCTCCTGGGATTTCAGCCTTCAGACTGAAATGCATTTAAATGTCCAAGCACTTCCTTCAGCTGCCAGAACTTGCGTAAAAGGATATCTAGTTGAGAGAGAGAACAGTTTCAAACTGTGCATCTCCGTTTCTTGCTAGCATCTGCTCAGGCTTGGAGACGGGCAGTAACTGTAAGAGAAAGAGCCTTGAACAGCCACCCTCAGCAGTTCTATAGTCTGTTAGAGGTACAGTGGTTGTCTGGTGCAGTCTGAGGTGGTTTAGTGCCATGACAGAAGTGCTGAACTGAGGATTTTAACCTGTGTCGAGACCTGGGCACCTGAGACGTTCACATTAATGCTATGCAGAGGCTGTGATTACTTAATCCCTGTGGAGCCTGGGTACAGGAAGGAGACTTTTGTTGGAGTTCAGACTTAGCCCAGACTGAGGCTTTATGCTGACTTGTTTTGCATCGAAATGCAAATGCAAAAATGCCTAATCTGACAGTTCCTTTCCTCTATACACCGATTCTTGTGAGATTTAAGCCCACACCTTAGGATATAGAAAAAGAGGCATAATATTTGTAAAGAAATGTTGGGTCACATAAATGGGTACTAGCAAAAGGTTCTTAATTAGCAAGAGGTGGATAGAAGGGATAAGAACACACAAAGTCTGTAGAACTGTCATGCTGTGTTTTTTAAATGCAGACTTAAATCAGCAATTATTGAGGTTTTCAGGCAGGAGGATTATTGGTAAGAATACTACATCCTCTGTATCATGCTGCTTTTTGCTGAAGAGTTTACTTAATGGTTTATTAAGGTTTACAAAGCCACAGGTAGATGTCAAACTCTCGTAGTTTGTTATTGTAGCTGAACCCAGGATATAAATCAAGAGTTAATTTTTTTACTTTTTTTCTAAGAAACAGATGTCAGCTAACACTTAATAGCTTTTTTTTTTTTTTTTTTCTTCCTAATGTTGAATATAGTTCTTTATCTTTATGCAAGATTTTTTTGTTTTGGTTTTCTCCCAAGTTGTACTGCTTAGTAAACAAGACTTGTGCTTCTCTGTCTAGGTCTTATAATATTAACAAGATAGCACATCAAGCTGTTGAAGAGATCCTTAATATTGGTGAGTGAACAGTGTGGCATTACTGGCCAAGTGTATATAAAGATAAACACCTATCTAATTGGAACTCTTTCTTTTGGCTCAACAGCAAAAAAGCAAGGAAGTTTGAATATGCCATTGAACATGGAACTAATACAAAAAGGTTAGTGAAAAAGGCAAGATTTCTTTAAGGTGTTTTAACTTTGACTAGTTCATTTTGTTTGTACTTTTAATACAGCTTTCAGTATTTAGCACTCTGGCAATATTAGTCTTTCTTGCAAACATTATGTAGGCACATTTGGTGAAAAGTGTCTGACTCGATGTGAAAGCACTTATTTAGACTTTCATATATATTGATCTTCAGGAGAATTTCTGTTCTAAGATTTAAGACACTTAATATTTAATCACCTCAAGAGAGCTATTGAGTGTCATGCAATAGAACTGAAAAGAATCTTCTGTAAAATTAATTTTTTTTGCAGGTGAAGGCTGTTAAACATCTGGAAAGACTCAATATCCCCTCTTGGAAGGAAAGCTGCTCTTTCCTGGAGGATTGTGTGTCTCTGAGAATATCAGATTTTCTCTGGAAAAACTAATGGATGATTTCTCTATTTACAGTGACAAATGATTACAATGAGTCCTTGGTCTACAGTCCAGAAGAACCAAAGATGTTTTTCAGTATTCGAGAACCTATTGTCAACAGAGTTTTCTCAAGTAGCCGACAGCGTGGCTTCTCTTCAAAGTAAGTGTTGGCTGTAGCAATCAATGAAGAGATTTCATTCTGTGTGTTTGTCAAAGTAGGAGTAATTTGTGAGTTTCCCTTGAAGTGTTTCAACATTCAGTTTGTGTTGTGTTTTGAGGGGCTTGAATATTGTTCTTAAAACAACATGAAGAAAATGCTGGCAAGTTGTGTTTTGCCATTTCAATGTTTGATCCATGCACAGTCTTACAGAATAAAAGAATTCACTGTGCCTGATTTTGGGTGAGTGCCGTTTCCCTCAGTATGACACACAGGCATTGACAAGCTTGAGTGAATTCAGGAAAGGGCCAGTGAGATGATGAGGTGGCCAAAACACATGGTCTATAAAGGAGAGGCTCAAATGATGTTTTTGTTTAGCCTGGGAGAGACCAGACTAAGCCAGGCGGATCCAGTTGCTGTCTTCAGCTGCCATTTGATGGTTACAGAGGAGACTGAGCAAAATAGGCAACAGCCATGATTTCATCGGATGAAATATTCTGATTTAGAAAAAAGGAAAAATATTTCAGCGTGAGAATGGTCAAGCAGCAGAACACGTTGCTCAGAGATTGTGCTATCACCATCCTTTGAGATACTCAAAAGCTGACTCAGCAAGGCCCTGAGCAATCTAGTCTGTCTTTGAAGTAAGGCTCTGCTTTGAGTGGAAAGATGGACTGTATGCCCTTCCAAACTAAATTATTTGGTAATTCAGTCATTTTAACTTATGTCTGCATACCTATGAGGGATATCTGCCCATTTTTCTTTTTTTAAGTAGAATTTGCTGCCTGTCATAGTTGATCTTTAGCTCCTGATACTAGACATCTCCCCATTGTTATTCTGTATCTTTTTTGACATAATAGCTGCCCAGAGTGAAATGGAGGAGTGGAACATGCCTCCATGTTCTTCTGCAGTGTCCAGGCTAGGCTGTGTTTTAGTGATGCACAGGCCAATTAAGCTTTGACGCCGTGGCTGTGCTTCCAAGTTTTACATATTTGTGGAAAGAGGTGTCTTCCTGAAAATTTAAGTCACTGGCTAAGATTAAGTTTTGGAGATTGGAACATTGTCTAGACCAAGGCCCAAGTCAAAAACAGTCAAGTACATCCATGTAAGACTGCACTCTTGCAGCTGCTCTGGCATAATAACTATTGCTTCCCATCTAGCAAATTTGGAGAACTTTTTACTTAATAGCATTCTTGCTTTTTACATATATGAAAGGACAAATTCCAATGGCTAATTTTCCTTTTAAAGGTAAGAGAAGATGAAGATGCTTAGTAGCTTTATTCTGTCTTGTACAACTCTGAAAGTGCTGTCTTATAATGGATGAGCCTACAGTAGTCAGACTCTAATATTGATGGTACAATGCTGTTTATGATGTTCCCTGCCAAGCATTCTGACCTTCAACTTTGTGTTTGAAATTCTTTCCCTTCTCTCTGGGAATGATTCATGTAACAAAAATAGACTATACTAATATCCAAAATTATTTGAATCTTAAGCATTGAAACTGCATGTTCCACTGCAGTTAATTTATGATTCTAATGTTAAAACTTTTCTGTAGAAGATCAAGTAAACAACTATTAAATGGGATCATCAGTAGCTTTCTTTAGAAAATACACCTAAACTGCAGCTTTCAATATCAAGTGTTGCAGGCTGTCCTCAGACTCTTGGAACAATAATCTCCATTTGAACAAGTCCTGCAGTCCTCTGTGGACTCTCTGTTAAGTCTGTACAAAGTATTGACAGGTTGGGGGATTGTAGTGCTAGTACCATGGTAAATACTTCTCTTAAGTATGCTCCCATGTGATTAAGTATTTACTGACCCACGCTGCTGTTCAGGTAAGTGCCTGTGTGAAATACTTACTTATCTTTTTTTCTATTTTGTGAAAACTTTATTTTTTGTGGTTTTGCAGGGTCTGTGTCCGTTCCCGCTGTTGGGATGCATGTATGGTTATAGATGGAGGAACATCTTTTGAGTTCAATGATGGGGCGATAGCTTCAATAATGATTGATACAGAGGATGCACTGTGCACTGTTCTGCTGGAAGAATGAAGGACACTTGTGTCTTCTGCTGAAACAACTCTGCATCCAGAGAGGGAACTCCTGGGGATAGACAGCACATCATAATGCTGCATTATGTTGGAGGTTGGCCTTTCTGGATGCAAGAGTATTTGGAGGAAGTTTTGAGATGCTTTTCATTCCTTTGGGTTGGGGAAACATTAGCCTGATATTTAAGCTCTTTTTGCATCTGATGTAAAAGAAATGTATCTGAAGTCATACCACTAACTTCAGTGAAAATTGACATTTTAACTTGTAACGCAAACGTGAAAGAATATACTTGCAAACACAGGTAGATGGGTTCAAGTATTAAGTCAGTAGCATTAAGTATCCAGATATACATTTTTTTTTAGTAACAGTCTGGGACTGATGAAACTAAACACCTTCATACATACACTTTTTTGTAGAAAAGTTGACTGTCAATCTAGCAATTTGATGCAAGGATATATAGATTTTGGTAAATCCTGATGTTGATGTAATAGAAATGGAAATACAAACTTTTTGTATACTTTTAAAAAATTTTACAACTTTGTAGTTTCTTACAACTTGTGGCAATTTTTTTTCCCCCTCTTCCAGTATTTTTTCTATTTTGTAGATTCACATAAAAAGTAAAAATCTGGTTTAATCACATCCTGAATAAGGTAGCTCTTTTCTTTTTGGCTAGAGAGGGAACTGAAACCTGAGGGTTTTCTTGAGCCCTTTCATGAAAATACACATTTGAAGTAAGAGATAATCCTTCACTGAATGGATTATCTGGGTAGTGGGTGTTCAGTTACAGTGTGTTCAGTAGTGTATGTAGATGGCTGTAATTAAGAAAGATATTTGCCTTATTAAGTTGAATGGTTTGGAATTTTAGGTTCCGAGTTTCTTTATAATTGAAAAAGAATGAGATGTGCTGGGTGCTAGTAGTTGGAACACAAGGTCATACCTGTACGTACCCAGCTTTCCAAGTATGTGTTTTTAAATTCCCCAGAAAGTTTGAATTTCCAATCCTATGCTGTATTTTACTGATACTTGATTGGCAAAAAGTTAATTTCAATTTTACATGCCTCTGATCATGAGATAGGTAAGCAGTTGGCGATAGTAAAAAATCTCAGATAATAGAAGTGACTTTTTAGATAATGTTTCAGAGAAACTGTGAACTATAACTGCCTTTGAAAGTCTGTGCTGATAATTGCATAGATAAGGGGGGCAGAATTTGATGAAATGAAGATTCCTACTCAGGAACTCTTCTGCTACATGACTTGAAACAAATGTGTTTTTTCTACCATTCTAGTTCCAAAAGTGAGTTTTCTAACTACTTTTGAATGAAGAGACATCTGTAGCAGATGTTCTCAGGGCTAATGGAAATGTTCTCCAGTGTGGCCAGTATTTATTGCCGAACAAAATGTAAACTGATGTCTATAGGTGAAGAAATCAGATGAATTTTTTCTTTCTCCTATTTTAAGCATTTGTATTCACTCTAAACCAGAATTTAAAGAAAATTAATTTGGCCAGACCATTCAATTTTAGGAAAATGTGATATTGGTGGAGCTTTTTTGAGTAAGTTATCACTGTTTGTGTACATTTCACCTTTTAAGTGTGCTACAGATTGAGTTATTTACACTATCTGCTTGAGTTATCACAATTGCAGACCAGAAGAGGAAAATCAAAGTAGCCAAATAACTCTTTCATAACTTTCTAAGTTTGGGAACTATCAGAATAAAGCTCTTAATGCCTAAAATTATTTGCAAAACTGGTCTAAATGTAAAGATGTGAGACTAATCTTCTAGAAAGTTGCCTACACAGAGACTTAGGGTGTTTTAGTTATTCCTAATCCATCTGTTACCACTTAAGGATGGTTTATGTGCCTCTGTCTGGTACACTAGTCAATATACTGTTAAGATTCAGCACCCCCCTCCAATGCCATTAACACTAATTTATGACTTTCTAGGACTTTACCAGTGTGTTAGATCAGAGGTTTAGGTATTGAAAGTGTACTGAAATACCTGCATAGACAAACTCATGGCAGAAACCTTGTTTAGAGACATTTGTGTGCTTCAATGTATTAATGGGGACTGATTAGTCTGATCAAGGTGCATACCTCTTAAAGATGCTTGTCATTCCTTATTATGAACGCTGGGACTAATAATGTTTTCAGGCCCTACAGACTCAAAGTATGATCTGTTTAGGGCTTAGTCAGAGTCGGACTCCGAATTTACATAGCAAAATGCAAACCTGACCTACTCATGAGTGGCCTCTACTGGTTTTGGCTGTGTTTAATTGCACTTCTGTTGAAGCATTTACTGGTGAATGGTTGATTTAAGTAACCAGGATGATTGAGAGATCTATAATAGATAAACAGTAAGCAGCTACCTTTTTTATTAAAGAATTGTACAATCCTTCTTAAGGATCCTTTTTTACAAAGGATTTGCAGTACAGACACCTTACCTGGTAGACAGTATTCTGTGACAGGACTGAGTATTGGTTTAACACTGATTTAATCTGCCTGGACTGGCAGTGAATTCTGCACCTTTTCTACCTGTTGAATCAAATACATGGTCTTTTCATTTAGTGCCAGTCCACACTGTGTTCTGCTAAACTAGACCTGTCATTCTTTGCTTTTTTTAAAAAAAGTGGTGTTTATGCATTATGTAATAAAAAATAAAAACTTCATAGATGCATGAAGTTGTCTTGTGCCTTATTTCAACTTTCAGAAGCGTTTCATATGTTAAGCTTCTTCTCATTTACTGTGGAGTTGTAAATAATGGTTTCTAAGCCTTCATGCTTCAGTAAAACACAAACATACCACTGTAGCAGCTTTTGGTATACACTGCTTAGAGCTACGAAATTACTTTTTTCACTTGGGAAAAGGTCAGTGGCGCATCTCACCCAAAGGGCTTCCATTACATGTGAGCTACAGCTGCCATCATAATCCATAGACCTGCAACAGAAATGCTTGTCCTCTTCCAACACTGAACCTCGTACTCAAAATAACCACCCAGTTCAGGTCTGTTCCTTCTAGATAAAGGCCATACTACTATCTCACCTCTGTACAGGGTTTTACAGCATAGCCTATTAATTCAAAACATACTGGTGGTAACACCCTGTCCTCTACACCGTGAGTGTTTAGACATTCCTTGAACAAATTCCCCTTTTTTTTAATCCATGACACAAAGTTGGTGGCAAGTTATGGGTGGAAGAGCATTTTCCCTCAATCATTTTGTACAACATATCTGCTTCAGATCTTTATTAAATGCAAAAGAAGTTGTATGGAGTTACATGATACATAGGAAGAAGAAGAATTTACAGTAGTGCTGAGCTGCACAGATTTACTTTTGAAGTAATTTAAGGCATAAAGTTAAGGCTGCAAACTGTGAAGCAACACAATATTCAATATCCAACTTCCCATCACTTCTCCACTCCAGTTTTCAGAAGGTATATTGCCCATTAACTCCTTTGTAAGGGGCACAAGCCCAGTAGTAGTAGCTCAAGTGGCAACATGGTCTAGTGTAAGGCCTTCCAGACCATGGCAGGAGGGTTGAATCTCTGATCTTAAGGTGCCTTCCAGATCTAACCATTCTGTGATTCAAAGCGTCACTAACACTGTTAAAACTTAACCAAACCAGAGCAGATTAACAAGATAATGCTGTATTTGCTATACTATAGAAAGTCAAGGTAAATATCAAATTCTAGTACTCATACAATCTTTCCACAGTAATGAATCTGTTCTGTACTACCAGGTATTTACTCCTGAGCACTTCTCTTCAGATTGAGATGGGAAACACTATAAACTATGCAACAACCCTACAGTAATGCTGTAGGCTCACCTTAAACATCCATAAATAAACACCATCTCTTTGATTGCTGCATTCAGGGGAACAACAGCAGCATCTTCATGTCCTACACAGGGTGCAGGTTTTACCCCAGGACTTCTCAGCTAACATTTGCTGGAACGTTTCATGATTACACAAAAGGACCTTCATGATAGACATAGACAGAAGTTCGTGTTCATATTCTTAGTTTGGTTTTGGACAGTTACTCATCTTTTCATAGAACTTCAAAAAAACCAAACAGTAGATAGTAGTAATTAGTGTTACAGATACAAGAGAAGCAATACTACAAACAGAAGCTATTATAAAAAAAAAATACATTGATGTTTCTTAAGAGCACCAAAGCATCTACTCCTTTCATCACTCATACTGCAGTCCCAGGTTTTGGTCCAAGATCTATAATCATTTGAGCCCTCCTCCTGCAAGATTTTTGAAAGTTTATAAGTTGCAGTTGAAAGATCTTATCCTTTAAAGGACGTAAGAACATTTTTCACAAGTTTCTATCAAAGATCAAGCTCACAGAAGCCACAATAGGATTTTGTAATACTGAATCAGAAAACAGCACCACACCATGAAAGAATTGATAACCAGCATCTTCATTTATAGATGCTTGTTCTGAATGGTGTTTTCAAACTGTATTTTGCTAACAAGAATTTTAAAACAGGTGTTATCTTTGTGGTCTGCTAAAGAAAAACTTAATTGGCTCCTTTATACCACTTTCTCACGTGTGCATTATTGAACTGTTTTTCTGTGAACATCCTTTCCCTGTTTTCTGTTTTGGTAAATTCATATTCAGTCCTCTGTCCCTCTCACAAACAGTGGACAGCTTCTCATCTTACTACACATCTTGTTCAGTTAAGCATTTAAATACGTTTAACGCCATTACTCATTTTGAGGTCTGCAAACTTAGACAGAGACCATTTCTTAATAAGCCTTATTAAAATATCTAGCACCCACACAAGCTGTTTCAGGAGTTGTACAACTGGTAGAGTTAACCAGAAGCACCTTTAGAACACCTCAGAGCACCAAAAGCTGCATCAGAACCTGCAACAGTTGCTATAGGCTGGCACTGTTTGATTACAATAGTTGTTTCACAGTATTTTTGAAAAAATATCCCCAGTTACAGAAAGAAAAAAAAAAATACGCAATTTCTCCCACATTATCATATTTCTAAAGGCTTTAAGTACAAAAATACTGTGAGAGTATTTATGAAACTACATTAAGGCATAAGACCAAGTTAGAATGTGTTTTACAATAGCAATACTATCATTAAAAGTGCTCCAGCATTCTGGTTCTTAAGGAGCTTCAATACACATTCTGTCTCCATTGCATCCAGTACAGTGTACATTTTCATAAGCCACTAGGATTGCTCAGTGTCAGTTTGCATTTGATGCCCCAAATCGCATGGCTCTTTTTACTACCAACAGTTGGCCTTGCGATGCTTGTAAAGTATGAACAATTGATCTCTATATCAGGAAGAGATTCCTTGAGGATCTGTAGGGAGCCATCAGTCACGATTCCAAATACCTGAAGAGTCTTTAATGTCGGAATTCCACCAAGTTCTCTAGAAAAGAGAAAACAAACAAACAAACAAAAAAAAATTTAAAAAAAAAAAGCAATCCAAACATAAAATTAATCATGAACCTGATTTTTTTTCCCAGTCTGTACCCAAACTAGATAACTGTATTTCTACTAATTTTTTAGAATTATGGTAACTACTTCAGTTAAATTCCCTTTCCTACTTTTTAAAAAGCACATTTAATTGAAACTAGTTCTCTGCACAGATAATTCTGGAAATGGGATACATAAATTGCTGCTTGCTGCTCTCTCTTTCACACAGGCTGAAAACAAACTGTTTCCTCCCTTTTCACTTCCCTGGACTTAAAACAAGTGAAAGGAATTGCCCCAGATGAAGTTTCAGGATGTGGCTCAGAGGACACAAGCCCCTGCATACTACCAGTCTCCAATCTGTTACCATGTTTTGGTGAATAGCCAGCCCTGCTTCTTGATTGCCCAGTCATCATGTGAACTGTGTTATCTACAAGCAAGTATTGGACAAAACTGAAAGGCAGAGACACACAAGCTATAATCATGACAACACACACTGATACAGAAAAGGTTTTTCAATTTCCCATTTCGCTAGTCCTGTTCATCTCACAACTTTTTTCTTGGTGTTGATCATTTCCTTAGGATTGACATCCTTCCTGAAAGGATTAAGATGGATAGCTGCTGTACTAATAAATGGCAAAAAAAAAACCCACAAGCAAATAAATTTAAGCTCTGTTTCAGGTGCAGCCAGTAACTGATAAAGGCACACAAAAAGACAAAGGAATGGAAACAGGTTGTCTAGTCAGCAAGTACAACTTTTCCAAAGAGCTACAGTCTCCTTGCTGCATAACTGAAAGCCTAGTACTGACACCAATACTGGTCATTGGCAGCACTGGTACCTGTAGCTGTACCTCGTGGTAACGTGTACCAGTAGTACAATGCCATTAAGGGAAGACATGATGCATGCACTGAGCAGCAAGTTCCATGAGTACACATCACAAAGAATAATGCAGATGCCTTTGGTTCTAGTCTGGATTCTCAAAGGTATGCGCTCTAGCGGTCAGGTTATTTTATCTTAGTTCCATATTCCCAATTCCTCATACCGGTAAGTTTTTCAAAGCAGTGCTTCCAGTTCTAAGCCTAAAACTAAGCAAGTTTAAATTAACTTACCCTCTGAGTAGTAAATCAAAGCCGCTTAGAGATTACTTACACTAACGCAGCAGCGGATATCTGATAACATCGGCTAAGACACAGATGTTGTAGACAGCTGAGTTTATGGAAATACTGGAAACACTCAGGCTTTAACATCACACTGTCACTGTACATAAGAACACATGAAAGAAGTTTTAAGTATAAAGGAGCAGTAAATCTGCCATTTCCAAAATTCAGGCTGAGAAACTTAATGAATATAAACTTCTTTTTCTACCACTGAAGTATTTTTATTTTCTTGTTCAATATGAATAACTCATTTCTAGTCTGTGTGTTGTGGGGGAGTGATTCTGTCTTCACTGGAGCAGAAGTTTCTCTGCAGGCGGATACTCTGCAGCAGAACTCACGCCATAAGAAGGCATAAAAATCACAAACCAAGATTTCAAGATATTTTAACTGACTAGGGCAAAACCAAAATACACTTTTTTTCCCCTACAGTTCTACGGCCAAGGAACAAATTTACATTAGAGCTGAACTAAACCCTCTCTAGGATGCTATACTCATAAACTGCATGCACCTAAATGCTCCCTTCCACTCTACCTATTGACTACAATGACTTACCAGTTTACAAATCCTGTACGTAACATTTATGCTGAGGTAAGAAAGAAATGTTCAAGTGAGTTGCCTGCTCCAGATTAGGTCATGCCACATAACAAATCTTCTGTAGGTTTAGCATATAAAGTATTTTCTGGTTGTGCAATCCTACACAATCATGCGTTATTGCTATATAATTATTACACTACAATAGAATTGGCAGTTCCCCAAACCATACGAGTTAAAGGCCTTCTTACCTTAGATCTAAATTGACAAGTGAAGGACATCTTTCCACCAGTGTTTGAACATCTGAAAAGAGGACACACAGAGTCAGTCCATCTTTCCGTAACAAGATGAATGTGCTTTATACAGACTACTCGCTTCCATAAATGTTCATTTATATCTTCTCTACTGCAGCCCCATAGTTGAAATACAACTTTTTGTTAAAAACATATACACTTAAGACTTACAGCGTCCACTCTGCCTATCAAAATACCTTACAGGCATCTTTTTTTAACCCTCAGCAAAACTGACCCATTTAGTCAGAAGAAAAGTCCTAAAAGCCACTTGTGCCAGCAACTTAGCAAGAGAGTAATTCACATGATACTGCTCTAGAAATTTACTAAGACATAGTAATGGTGAGATGCCTGAAATTCTTGCATATAGAAAAAAATTCCAAAAATTTTCTAAACATCAAACAACCTTTTAAAGCACCAAGTTCCTAAGGTATCTCCATTTTTACCCATAGAAAGGTGCTTCCTCATGATGGAGAGTTATGTTTTCTTGGTTTAGCATAAAAACAGCTGTGGCTCAGATATCACCAAAAAGGTCGCTCTTGTTATTAGCAAGGTGCTAATCAACATGCATGAGGATTTTGGCATTTCAGAAAAAAAGCAAATTAGAAAAACTAAAGAAAACAATACCTAACTTACAATGATTCGTGAACTGTTCAAATCTGATGTCTTATAAATTGCATTGAAACAGAGTAAAATTGCTCACAGAAAGTGTCTTGCAAACAGAAAAACTCCACGCTTTGTTTCTAATGACGAGATCAACAGAAGGTTCAAATTCCTAATTTGAAGGAGATTACGTAGCATGTTTGTTTATGGGTTTTGGGCCAGAATAAAAAGCAGACCAGTACATTTCACCACAAGGGAATGAATACCCAGGTCTGGGTGACACTTAAATAGAAACAAGAGGGGTCACTGCCTGTGTGTCATCTACCTGCCTGTCAGCCTATGTCCTATTGCCACATTTGCTCATTGAGAAAGTTAATTTCTTTTTATCACCTAATCCATTTCACCTTTTACCTACGCTTTTGTCCATTTTGTTGTGCTCTCTCCCAAGATCTAGATTTCTCTGTATTTTATACAACCCTGCAAATTTACCCAACTTTTCCTCCTAGAACTATTATTGAGTAAATAAGTTAATATTGATTACTGAGATTATTTGCCTTCCAGATTAATTGGTAGGACATCATATCAGTAGCTACTATGACTGCTGTTTTGGAAGAAGTCCTCAGCAGCCACAATAGCAGAATTCCTAAGAAGACCTCAAGTACATTATCTGGAAAGCTAATTTGCAGTGGAACATGGGATCTGGTGTATCCTGATTCCACGACTTACTTCAGAAGTAAGGGCTATACCTTTCAACTGAAGATAAAACAAGTTTTCACCTGACTGTTTTTAAATGCAGAAGACAAATCATCCCACCCCTCATGGCTAAGCCAGAGACATGAGTAAGATTCTCTGACAGGAAGTACATCAAGCTACACAGAGCACAAAGTCAGCGTTAGTGCACGATTTTTCTGTACACAGGATGCCAGCCAGAAGAAAATATAAAGCCTCCTGCTTTATATTATAAAATGGGATACGAGTTTGCCATGCTGCTATTTACCTTGCATTTGTAGATTCTGTCTGTAGCCACTTAAATTTAATTGGGTTACTTTTGAAGTAACATGATTGACTGCTGCTTTGACATGGGTGGCTGTGAAGTTACACCAGGACAAGTTCAGCTCATCCAACCTACACACAAATGAACAAAGAGCCATTTGGAAGAAAGACTGAAACAATGTCTGAGTTCTGATATTATCTATTACAGTTGATACTTTTAAGGCAAAAACTTGTAACACACCTACTACCAACTGCACTGTACTTGCGACAACAGATTTCACTATGACAATAACTAAGCACTGCAGCAGGTTACCCAGCAAGGCTGTGGAATCTGTCTTTGGAGGTTTTCAAGATATAGCCAGAGAAAGTCCTGGCCAGTGCTGGATTTAGACCCTGCTGTGGGCAAGGGGTTAAAATAACTTCCCAAGGCCACTTCCAGCTGGAACGACTCAGTATCATCTTAGGAAGAAATGGTTCTTTCCAGGGACTGCCATGGGGAGACACTGTCTGTTCATCTTGTTTCTCCATTTGTCACCTGAATCTGTTACTACTGAATAGATACTCACATTGAGAGGTAAAAGGGCTATCCATTATTAGCATTGGTCAGATGACAAATTAATCCTTATTAGCATAAAATACTTCACATTTTTGTATAAGCATTAGCCATACTGTGACCTTAACTCTCTTTACATGCTTGATTACCTATAGCCTTTGGGGCTGGGACAAAGAGTTTTTTTTGTGTGGAAGTGTTGTAGATTTAACCAAAAGACACCGTGGGCAGCACAAGCAGAGCATTTAGCTGCAGCCTCCATGTAAAGCAAAAAAAACCCAGTTAAATTGCCACTAGCATTCCCCAGATCAGGTTTGCCACCTGCTATTCACTGCACGCTGTACAGACTGCCATTCTCTAAAGAGCTCATGATCCAAGCAATAGAAAGCATTATCTACCCAGGAGAGGCAGGGAACGATTAAGGCTTTGTCTGCCCACTCACTTGGACTCTGATTAAAAATGTGCTTTTGCAGAAGCAAAAATTAAGTAGATTGCCCAGCATCTCACAGGAAGTCAGCAGAAAGATCAGGGTATAAATCCCAGACTGGCTGGGGCTTAGCTCGGTGATTTCCTGCCAGCAGATGGTTTAATCACTGGCACCGTCAATCTGAACACAGTGCTCCATAAAGAGAAAGGTTACTGAAGGATCAAGAAAGGAAAAGCATGATGTTTTCTGCCATTCACACTGTACCCTGACTGCAAAGGGAGCGCTGGGACTCCACTTTTCAGTTTCAAAACACACTTTCACTTTGTGAGTATCTTGTACTGCTTTTGTCAGGAAAATCCAATTTACATGATATCAAAGGAACATAAATGGGGTTGACCCACCAACCAGACTTCCTTTAAGGACGATAAAAGAAATTAATGAAAAACTGCTGAAGTACATCTTTGCTATTGAAGAATAAATTGCTTGATGGAAAGAAGCTATCTGATTATTCAGCTAATAATCAACTGCCAGGCATTTAGGAACAGAAACCAGCTCATAAGAAAAAGAAAAAAGGAAACGATCTTAGAGATAAGTACAAGTGGGATGCATATGGAAAGAATTAAAAAGAATCATTTTTCCCAGGAAGAGCAGTAAACAGGAATAGCAAAAACTATTTTTGTCTTACACAGAACAGCTGCTCAACATCAGCTCCAAGGGTTCTGCAGCAAACCCTGAGCACCCAGAGAGATTCAGTCGCATCAAATTGGGATTCTGAGCAATATTCCTGTAGACAAGAAAAAAGGTGACAGAATTTTAATACTGGAACACTGCTCGCATGGTTTGGAAGTGTGATTATTTTTAAGAGCTAAAATCCTAGGTACAGAATTATTCGTGAAACATGCAGCACTGCATCTTTAGTAAACTGACCAACCGGAGAGTCACTAAAGATCTCAACTCTGCTTGCATCAATGGCACAACTTTGAGAGGGATACTTGCCTATTTACCTGACATTCCTGACAGGTCTGCATATTTATAAACTGCTAAGTTTAAAAGGAAACAGTTTCTTTTCACCTTGTGCTGTTGTACGCCATTAAATACACACCATGGCTTATTACAGATGACTATACCTCTACAAAAGACAAAGCAATCATCCCATTTCTGAAGTCACCCCTCTGCAAGATGAAGGTTATTCCAGAACAAAACACATGTCCAAACAGCATCTTCCTGAATGCACTTGTCTTCAAGGTTACAACAGACAAGCAATTGGCAAAACCTGGAAAAACCCTTACAACCAGTACCTAGGTTTCATAGAATCATAGAATGGTTTGGGTTGGAAAGGAACTTAAGATCACCTAGCTCCAACCCCCTGCCATGGTCAGGGACACCTCACATTAGACCATATCATCCAAGTTTCTGTCCAGCCTTGCCTGTCCTTGAACACTGCCAGGGATAATGCAAAAAAATTCCATCACTGGCGCCTAATTAGTACTCATTTTCAGGCACTTTTTATCTGCTATCAAAAGCCAAACTATATTGGTTTATTTGTGCTTTGGGAATTTGTTTGTTTGCTTTGTGTATGTTTGGGATTTTTGTACGTTTGGTTGGTTTGTTTTGTGGGTTTGTTTTTTGTTTCCTTCTCTGGAGTGAGAAAGGCATCAGAAAGCTCAAGAGTAGAAAGCAGGACACCCAGAGTCTCTGCCATCTGAGCTATGGTCCCTGGCACCTCCAGAATCACCTGATGTGATTGAACAGGAGGCTTATTGCACACCCATTAGTGTCTTTCCAGTTTAACCAAGCAACAGTTCATCTGCTTGACAGAATCTGTAATTTTTCAGACACCCAGAGTGAAGTGCAATAAAAAAAATAATGAGAACCAGTGCAGAAGTACAAAGAGCATGTGGCGGGAGAGCTGCTGAGACCCCTTAAAATAGAAAAGAACCTGCATGCCAAACACAAAGTTCTCTTGAGAGCACAGAAATGGGGAAATGCTAGTAGCTCTGCTGCACAGCTTGGCTGTGGGACCAGCCAATGGACACATAAACCCCAGAGAGATGAGCAGGCTTCTGCGTTGGGGAATGAAAAAAAAAACCCAACACCAAAAAGCACTCTTCCTGAGGGGTGTGTCCTCCTCACCTCAACTCTTGGACGATAGAGAGGAAAGAGGCAGCTCATCTAGCCTGTAAGCTAGCCCTGTCAGGTGCCTAAATCTGGCCATTTAAAAAGGCTCTCACAACTCCCAACTAGCTAGCCTGCACAAAATGATAGCACTGAACAGGTGGTATTTACTGAATATTCCCAAACTTATCACTCACCTGATGATGTCATCAGAAAGCACCAGTCCCTCCAAGCTCAGATTCTGCAGCTTTTCACACAGAGCAAGAATACTCTGGAGATTTGCAACAGACACTGTGCAGTTCGACAAATCCATACATTGGAGTTTGAGAGGTCTAAAAAAACAAATAAATAAATAGAAAGTCAGGTTACAAAAATTGCATTAAAACCTGCTCCACAAACCCCCACACTGTAAATACATCCCCTACAATAAAGCTGTGTAAAGCTTGCAGAAAATAATTATACTTTTGTGTTCAGTTGCACACTGGACATACTACTAAGCTCACTGAGCCTACTGCTAAGCTACCACCCAAAACTGGAGAATTCTTACCTTCAAGGCATTTACAGGGTTCATTGTAACACCTGAAAGCCTATCCTGCTGGAGTTAAATATTTTTCTGAGTGTTCCATATAAAAATGCTGGAGATGCTAACAATTCCTGGTTCTACAAGATACAAACTGCAAGTGGATGATGGTGCTTAATACTTCCAAAAAAATGACATTAACTCGGTTTTAAACAAGTGACAGGTGAATGCAGATCCTCTCACTTCAACATGTCTAACTACTCATCAGCTCTTCCACACTCCAGAGACAACACAAATGCTACTGCTGGTAGAGACCTTAAAACCAAAAATACAGAGAAACTGTGAATATCTGAGACAACATTTAAGGATTCAGAACATGAAGGAAAAGCCTTACTTGCTTGTTTTGAACAATGGGTTCCCAATACAAGATCGTGGACAGCGGAATACAATAACACCTGCAGGAAGCAACTGTCCAACCACTCCTGGCAGCAAAATTTTACCAGCCAGATCAAGAGTCTGCCAGAGAGATTCATCAAACCTAAGGCACAGAATTTTACTTGTTAGTGAGGTAGAAAGGGTCAGAACTACGAGTACAATTACTGAAAGTTTTCAGTGTCACAAAAGACTGAGAAGAGAGAAAGCTATTTAATAGAACTTACTAACGTTGAAAAATGCAAGCCATCTTTTGATTATACATACATATAACCCACATATAGCATAAACTGAATTATATATGAATAAACAAGATAAGAACCAGATCATTTAACAGTCTTTGGAAGCAAAGGTTTTCTTAGTAGTATGAGATGAGAAGTAATACTTACGAAAGACAATGCCATCTCTTGCAAACAACGGAAACTCCTAGCAAGTCACTTAGGGGCAAATACGCAAAGATGGCCAAAAGCAATTCATCTGGAAGTTGGAAAGAGCAAACGTGTTTTAGTTAAAGCTGTCTCATTTTTGCCTGCTGATCAGACACTTTAGCTTGACTGTTAAAAAGCATCCCTGCATCTCTAAGCCATACAGACATCAGCCTGCTACTCATCCCCCTTTCAGCTCTTTGCTGTAGAAAGATATTATTACCATCTTTGCCTAGGCACGAGTGGCAAATGCAAAGCCTTCCACAACATCAACCTAGTATACATACTAAAGGTATGGAAAAACAAGTTCCATGGAAAGAATTATAACAATCTTTATTCACATACTCATTTTGGAAACAAGAGTATCTCAGTTGCTTCCTATGTATTCTAAGGCTTGTATGCTCCTTCTTCCCCCCATCCCCTTCTGAAATGCCCATCCTTCCTACACATGCCAGGCTCCCAGAAGGGAGCCCAAAGTAAGCTATGCTTTTGCATGGTACCTAGGGAAAAGCAGGTACTGCAAACTGCTCCTTAAACCATGCACACTGACTACCACCCCCTGAATTATCTGAAAGGATGTGGTGCAATCTCAACTTCTCATGAGTAGATACAGGGCTCCAGAAGGCGTTGCCATTCACAGGCTGGTTGGTGGGGTTCAGGAACAGCTGCTTAAGACCCAGCATCTGTCTTGTTTAAAAGCAGGGTCATCTGACGGCATTCTGTCTGGTTTAAGCCCAGCCAGTAACTCAGAACCACGCAGCCGCTTGCTCACACATCCCCCTTTTTGTCCCCCTCCGGGGGAGCTGGGGGGGAGAACTGAAAGAATGTAAACCCCACGGGTTGAGGTAAGAACGGTCCAGTAACTAAAATGTAATATAAAACTACTACTGCTGATAGTAATAATGTTAAGGGAAATAACAAGGGGAGAGAATATAAAACTAAAAAGGAGAAAAAAACCCAACAATAAACACAAGTGATGCACAACACAATTGCTCAGCACCTGCTGACCCATGCCCAGCTTGATCCAAGCAGCAATCTGGGCCTTCCAGGTGACTCGCCCCAGTTTATATACTGGCCAGAACATGCTATGGTACAGAATACCCCTTTGGCTGGTTTGGGTCTGGTGTCCTTTGTCTGTTTCTTGTGCCCCTCCTCACTGGCAAAGCATGAGAGACTGAAAAGTCCTTGATCAGGGTAAGCGCTACTGAGCAACGACTAAACCATCAGTGTGTTATCAGCATTGTTCTCAGACTAAAGCCTAAGCACAGTACTGCACCACGTACTAGGAAGCAGAAAAATAATGTTTACAGCTAAACCAAGGACACGGCTCATGCGATGGTTTAGCCAGGTCTGGAGAGAGCTGTTTTTTTTTTCTTTTGCATTCTGCAGTTGCTGCAGACTGAAAACATCTTTCGATACCAAGGAAAGGAGCCCAGTATCCTAGAACTCCTTACAGTGCCCGAGGTCTTCAGGTTACAGCCCTGCTCTTTCCC